ATTTGAGAAATACCACTCAATTGCCTCTGCATGAATAACATCAGTTAGACTCTCCCACAATCCTAGTTTACTCGGACAGAGATACCATAAGATTTCATTGTTTAAAACTGAAGTTGTCTTGTCATTTATATAATTAATAAATAAATAAAATTTCTCTCAATTCAATGCACACACCTTAGCAAAGTCATTATTCATCTTTTTAGTTAGAAAAGCCAAGTTTAATAAAAGAATACAAAAATGAGCTTTGCATAATCACTTCTGATGTTTCAAACCAGTCTTTAAGCAGTGCAAAGCCATAAATTAACTATGTCATACGAGCATCTTAAAAGAAATGCATTGTTACTCATCAGGAAAAAAAAAATTTGAAGGGTAAAGTGTCCTGGCTTCAACTGGTATAGGGTTAATTTTCTTCCTAGTAGCTCGTATGGTGCTGTGCTTTGGATTTAGTACTAGAATAATGCTGATAACACACTGATGTTTTAGTTGTTGCTAAGTACGGCTTATGCTAGGCAAGGACTTTTCAGCTTCCCATGCTCTGCCAGGTGCACAAGAAACTGGGAGGGGGCACAGCCAGGACAACTGATCCAAACTGGCCAAAGGGCTATTCCATACCATACGACATCATGCCCAGTATATAAACTGGGGGGAGTTGGCTGGGGGGCAGCGATCGCTGCTCGGGAACTGGCTGGGCATTGGTCAGCAGGTGGTAAGCATTTGCATTGTGCATCACTTGTTTTGTATATTCTTTTACCATCATTGTTGTTGTTGTTGTTATTATTATTATTATTATTTTCTCTTCCTTTGCTGTCCTATTAAACTGTCTATATCTTAACCCAAGGGTTTTAAGTGTTTTTTTTCCCCTGCAGTTCTCTCCCCATCCCACTGCGGTGGGGAGTGAGGAGGGGGAGTGAGCAGCTGTGCGGTACTTAGTTGCTGACTGGGGTTAAACCACAACATAAAGCTACAAGAAACATTAAACAAATTTCAGTTCATTACTGTAAGCAGATATTCTATAAATAATTTATGATTTTTAACAGTCTTTCATACAGCTGCTGGTAGCCAATATTACATCATTTATTAATTCTGTTTGTCAGTTGTTCCAGAAAACTCCACACCCATGGAAACTTTGTAAATAGTTAGAAACTTCAATGCATCAAATGTAAATCTTAAAAATTAAGAAGAATTACTATATTGTTAACAATATACTAACAGCATTTTTAGCTAGCAATAATGACTGCATCAATTTGAGAAATAAATTCAGATGCAAAACAAAACCAACATGGAAGCTTTTAAACTAACACTGTACAGACCCAGGAAACAGCACTTGGTTTAATTCAGCTTAATTCCAATAACCACAGTCACTTGTCCAATACATAGATACATGTTCATTGAACTTCTATTTTAATGTCTAATTGCAGCATGACTAATCAAGGAAATAGACGTTTACTGACATGTGTAGCACAAGCATATTTTCATGTATTATTTCCATTAAAATCATTAAGGTTCACATGCATTTAAGTTCAGCTCCAATTTTCATGTTTATTCTCAGTGTGTTGAACTGCACTTCAAATACAAGCAAATATCCTAGTAAGCTACTAATGAAAAGGACACAGTTAAAAATGCAACACAAACAAAACCTGACCTGTGGGTAAGCTGTGCCCATACCAGACAGGACAGCTGAAAGAACATCTCTTCCCTTTTCACCTGCTCGGTTGGACACAGCAAGCTTTAGCAGGTCAACCATGACTCGCGTGTCATCTGGTACTAAGAGACTAGTAAACTCATCCAAGTACTGCGGTTCTGGGCCAGACACTTTACTTTGACTTTCTACATCCTACAAAACAAATTGCAGAAATATTTAGACATTGAAGATCAAAGAAGTATTTCACTGAATCCAAACAAGCTAACTTGTCTGAAGAAATTTAAAGGTAGTTTAAAACGCAATTCATAAATCTGGGATTTTATGGCCCCAAAATTAAACTACTGTTAACCCCGTTTCTCAAGTGAAAAAGCTTTCCTACAACTAATTTCCTTTAACTTCAGACCAAAAAGAAAAAAAAAGAAAAAAATCCCTCTGTCTTTGGATAGATAAAAAAACCCAAAAGCAGTCATTTACAGAGTAACTTGAAAAGCACAAAAAAAAGCAAAACTGCTTGATAAAAGCATGGTAAGGACTTAAGTTTTAAGGAAGGTATTGACAACATTACTTCTTTGGTTTTTGTCATGGTTTCTGCAATGATACTGGCAGCTCCAGGATCATCTGTGACTGGAATGAAAGGACGGGAAGAGGCAGCAGCAGCTGAAGGAGTTACAGCAGACGGTGTCACAGCATCTTCTGAAGAAACAACCTAGCCAAAACAAATAACAATTAACAAAAGCTGCAACAAGATACTATAAAACCTTCAAGAGTAATTATTTATTAGAAGGGCTTACATTCAAAGACAGCAGCAATTTAAAAACAGCCATAAATACAAAGCCAACGGATTCTCTCCCTGTATTTTTAGCTTCTATTGTAAGTTCCTAGCATGGCAAACCAGCCAACACCCCTCTCAATGCCAGCTGCTACAAAAACATACAATAAAACATCAGTGCCTGCAGAAAAGGATACAATGTAGAAGACAAGCTCTAACAATACATGTCAAATTAATAGTTTCTTAAAGGAAAAGATCTCTTCAGTAGCAAGCCTTTTCTTTTTTCTGCTTCTTTTAGCAGTTGGGAATCAACAGAGTAGAATTCCATTCAGGCCCTCCTGTCTACATTAGTTGATATAATTTTACAATTACATTTCATTAAGTAATTGTCAAATATTCCCTTAGCCTTGACTTTTTTTTTTTTAAAGATCACTCCTGTGAAATCAATTTAATATCTGGTCAAATGGTTAATATTTTCATGTTAACTCTAAAATACTACTAGAAATCATCACAATTGCATTTAAATGACACAGTGCATTCCGAAAGTTCAAAACTGTTTTCACACTAAAATTTTTGTTTTTCCAAATCTCACATACGCAGAGTATCCACTGCTGAAATTAGAGCATAAAAGAACTGTTTAATCTCTGCTATTATCAAACTAAGTGGGACAATATTTTTCAGCTTTACTGTTAAACACTGTTGGAAAAATTCATTTCACACTTTACCTCCCCTCTCCTGTCCTGCCATGGGTTTGGGCTCAGCCTCTCTTCTATATCTCCTACAAGCATGCATTCATCTCCATTTGCAGTGCTTCCTGTAGAAGTAGCATCTGATGGGGGGGCTGGTGACGAAGAGGGACATTCTACTGGTGCAATCATACTTGCAGGCATCAATGCTCCAACAACTGCATCCCTGAAACCATTTAGGACAGATTAACATAAACCTAATTAAACTCTCTTGTTCAACTTAGAAAAAGAGTTGTATTAGCTTGCGTTACTAAAATAGGGAAAGGTTTCCAAGCTCTGGAATTTAGACACTAGTTTATCTCCATTCTCCTTTGAGCCTCATGCTTAAATACTGTGTTTTAAGGCAACTATTTTACATGACTTCCTCTTCATAAATTTTAGCACAAATACTCTGTTCCCTACCAACAACAAGGGCACTGTAAAGTTTTATTTTTACTTCCACCCTGTCCTCTACTGCTTCCTCCACATCATCTATCATGATTTACTTACACTCCTTTTACATGAGTATTCCTAAATAAACAATTTTTTCCCCAGGCAATGGGAGCTTCTGTAAAGAAAACATAACAGCATAAAGCTAACATCAACATCAAAAGAAAATTTAAATGAAGCTTAGGCCTATCCTGAGGAGTCCAACCTTGTGAAACAATTTACACCTGACTCAAGAGACCCTAATAGATGGTAAGCTATGTCATCTTTTGCTCTGCAAAAGACAAGAATGTTTGTGTGCCTACCTGGCATACATGATTTGTAATGCCATCAGTATATGAGATAACGCCTGCTGTTTGGCAACATTCCCATCAAGCGATAGGAGAATCTTAGCGAGAGAAGGGCGATTCGGCTTGGAACTGTTTGCCCCACTAATTTTGTTACTGGCAGCAGAAGAATCTGCATCTGAAGGAACACCTGGAGCAAGGGGGAAAAAAAAAAGAGAAGACGGGCATTTTCTAATGGTGTACTACATAACTGGAACTGATTTATCTAATTTCTTGTTAAGTCAGAAAGATGACTGTAAAACTAACTCAACAGTAGATTCTTAAACTGCAGTGCCTACAGTTACACTGAAGTCAATACTGAAGCTTTGCAGCAAGGTCTTTCATAAAATAGTGTTCCACCTAGTTAGTTGCTCATTAAGGTTAATGTAATACAGATACAAATATTTTGGTGATCAGCATCTAAAACAAGTTTTACTTACACAGAAATTTCTCAAGTAGCAAGAATATTTATTAGGTACTCTGCAAAATACTAATCAAATATTCTATATATGTAGTTCTTGCTCTTTTTTAAATACATTACCTTGTTTATGAAAAAGCTTAATTATCAAAATGTTTGGTGCTTTTACATTCAACAGGAAACACTGCTGTTTTGCCTCCCTAATGCTTAAGTCACCTACTTTAGGAACAAAAGGTAACAGTAGCATCAAGAATTATAATAAGAGATAACATGTAAGACAACCAATATTACAGTAGCATCCATCTACCATTACCTCCATAAAGCTCTATCCCATATTAAAGAAAAAGTCTTTGGGGCATTTGATAAAGCACGTTGCATTTTAATTTCCTGAAGAACAACAAAAGTTCAAACTAATGCTACTTCTGAACAAGTCCTTTACAACCTCCACTTTCAGGAACAGGTTTTGTTGGGGATTTTTAAGAGGTGTGTATGCTTTTTGTTGTTGTTTTGTGGTGTTTTAAAAGACAGTTTTCTTTTTGCAGTCTTCTATCACCTAGTAAACCACACACACAACTAACTCTCCAATCGCACAGAAAAACCCCATCAACGTAAGGCAATAAATACCAACCAAGATAAGAAGCACCTAAAGGGTCCCTCGCTGTCTGGAAAAGTACTGGTTCATGAACAGATGGTGTAGCTACATCCACTGTTGTCCACGCTACACTGTGGGAAGACCCACAGGCAACCCGGGTGATTTTCTGGCCTTCCAAGCCCTGGACAAGAGTGGGCTTTCTATTGACAGTAGTAGTTCCATTGCCTTGTTGCCCATGGTCATTGTCACCCCAAGCATAAACCTGCCAGTAAACATTTCCACATATTACTTTGTTTCACTGGTTGCCTCATTTAACTGTTTTCTTAAAAATTTCTACATAGGAATATTAGTGATTAGTACTATTAATCTAGGACACTTCAGAGAACCTACTGCTGTGACTTTTTTTGCCCCCATTAAATAATGCAGGCATTATCATACATTAAAGAAAAAAAAAAAGCAGCACTTTATCAGATGATTCATAAATTATTGCCTATTCATAAATCAGCAGTTGATTCATAAATTATTCATTGTTCACAGTGAATAGTAAGTTAGAAAAATTAGTTGCATAGTAATTACACTGGGGATCTGAATCAATACTATGATAATGACAATGCTGGATCACAGGAGAAAAATCTGTCCAGAATACTATGCCTGCTTCTGCATTTCAAGAGCAAGAAGCAGGAAACTGATCATGCAGATATACATAAACTAGGAAAATATTACAAAAGCTACTATGACAACAACATTTAAAGTCCAATAGTAATATGAAAGCTAATAAGTTTTAAATTACAATCATGCTTTTACTTATTCAAGACTTTAAAAAGCAAATAAATACCATTAGAAATTTTCATTCAATTTAATTAGCATCGATGCTATTACGCTATTCTTCCTCAACAGTTTAGTTTATTACTTTCTGGATCAAGGAAAAAGGGGAAAGGAGGATGATGCACAATGTACCTGCCCAGTGTCAGTAACCGCTAGACAATGGAGTGCGCCTACAGCCACGTGTACGATCTTTTTACCCCTCAATCCTTCCACAACTTGTGGCTTTCGTACATGTACATCTGTGCCATGGCCTAGCCTGAAGTAGTCGCCCTTACCCCTGCAACAGAGTAAACGTAAAATTCAAGACAATTATATTGTTTACACATTCCTTTGTCAACGCAGCTTCCTGAAGCAAAATACTGCATTTATCACTAGGATTAAACACAAGCACCAGCAAGCAAGATCTTCAAACCTGAATTACAAAGGCCTAAAAATGAGGATAAGTGCAGTTCTGTGAGTCCATAACTTTTCACCTCAGTATAGAACAGACATCATTTATGACTATTTTTTGTACATAGTGCAACTGTGATCACACTGAATTTCCTCTTGCAGAAACATTGCAATTACAAATACCTACAAAATTGATGTGTTTCGATAGACTTGGACAGATTTATACTATTGAGGATAAACCTAACAATAACAGACCCTTTGACAAGTATACTCACGTGAAAAAACATACAGGAACTAACATGTTTTCAGAACCGAGTTTTTTCACCCTGTTGCAAGACTCAATATAGGTTCTCAAGCCTCCATAATTTAAATTCCTCTAAAACTGTTATACACAAACTGCACTAAAAATATACCATATGCAAATGTAATGCAAACACCTTAAAATGACTTTAAGAACATCAGTAAAGAAGAAAAAAACCCTGAGATTTCTTCCACTGTGTTTTCAGTAACCATTCACTCAGTTTTGCTGCTCACCACCACCACCGCCAATTTTTCTCAAGAAAGGTTATGTTATGCTGGAGGTGCTTGTGATATATAGTACTATTGCCTACCTAAAGTTATAACACAGAAGTTGTTATTTTTCCCTCAAATCAGTACAAATTCAAGAAGGTAAGAATAAAAGTTTAGAAGCAACTCAGCCATCCTAAAGTGCAGGCATGCATTGCTGACACAGACCAAAAAAAATCTCCTTGTTGGCCTGTAATGACATGAAATAGCTATAGATTTTATGACTAGATGTAACAGTGTTAAGACAAACTGGGGGAAGGAAGGAATGGACAAGAATTTTGCAAAGAGTTCTTAAAGACTGCCAAATTCCCTCTCCTCTTACTCCTTTCATCACTACAAAGAAGAAAATTTTAAAGAGGGGGTAAAGTGAGAGAGACAAATACAGTTTCCAGTGGCCACTCTGAGAAACACCTCTGCTAAAAGCTTTTCTCCCTTTTAAAAATAGAAGTTACATAAAAACAGAAGTTTTGTGGATTTCTCTTCATATCATTCATCCATTGCTGACAAACAATAACACAAAAATGACCATTTTAAGTCTTCTTAGCTTTGATATACATCAAACATGTCATAGTCTTACTACACAATGATGGGGTAAGACCTTGATCTGGTTACAGCTCTGAAGTTGATCTGCCATACAGTAAGCTCTCAAATTTTACAGGAAGGTTTATAAACTCAAAAAGCCAGGTCTGCCTCCAAGACAAAGCAGAAGCAAGCAAATAGAAGAAAAATAAAAAGGGTTTCTGAATAACCCTCAGTGATCAGGTCATACCAGTTCTTGCTTCAAGGCATCATTACTGACAACTCAGTGGCCTTCTGAGCAGCAATGAGCTCTGCAGAGACCCTGTGTTTCCAAGGAAGTTGTTCCCATTTCCTCTGAACTTTAGCTTACTTCCTTGCTCTACTACATCCTTACTCTCATAAGTCTCTGGTTTAGCTGTAGGCTACATGCTCCAAACTACAATTCTCAGGTTCTCTTTTTCCCACTCCAAAGTCTTGAATCAACATTCTTTTACTCCTTGCTCTCAAGAGAGGGAATGATCTTCCCCTTCCTCCAATAGTTCAGTGAGACCCAGGCATCCTAACAGAGTACAATACACAACTGAGCATGCTACAAGACACAGTGTTAGAGTAATTGAACAGATCACAACTTGTCTTGAAGAGCTGCCAATTTAAAAGACAAAGCACACAGATAAGGCACAGATGGAGTTAAGACAGTCAAATAGCAACAAATACAACACATACTTAGCAATTGCTTTGTTAGTATTTTCTGGCAAATGTAACATACCATGTCCATACCACTCCTGACTTGGTCAGTGCCAATGAGAACTGTGCACCACACTCAATCTGACAAACGCCTTGGCCGTTCAGTCTTTCGATGTTCTGAGGAATGTTGCATCCTTCACTTCCTCCTCGGCCCAGTTTTCCAAAATCACCATCACCCCAAGAAAACACCAAACCTAACAAACACCAAACTGCAGGTCAAACAATGATCGCAGTATTCCCATGCACTAGAAAGGTTCTGGAAGATATTCCTACCTTCATCTGTCAAAGCAAGAGTCTGAGCATCTCTACTTCCACAAGCAACCTGAATGACCCTGTGGCCAAGGAGCACTTTAACCTACAAAACAGAAAAAGTAAGCACAATGTTTCAAAGAATTATGTTTTAAAACCTTACAGACATTTTCAAGCTCTTATGACTGATCTTGTTCACTGTGCCCAGCCTGAGCATGCCATTTAGCAAAGGACTATCAAGTCTCGCTCACTCAGGATCCAACATCACTCAATGACAGTAATAGCTTCCAGCTATGTATCAAAGTAGATGCAAGGCATGAATGTTCAAAACAGCGCTAGACATTGCACGTCACTTCCCAAGAAAAAGAAAGAGATCTTTTTGGCCTTTCTGAAATAGCTTGCCTGTTGTTAGAGGTATGTGTACCAAAACCTAATTTAGATCACTCCAAAATGATGTCTTCATACTGCTTTCCTAGTTTTTGGCTTTACTTTAGCTTTATTTTATCATTTATTAAACAAACACATTCACATTTCATCAGAGACAAGAAACATTTATTTTACCATCTTAGGCTTCAGCTGTGTGGTATTATCTCCATGTCCTAGCCTTCCATATTCTCCAAGACCCCATGTATACAGTTCACCACTAGAGGTAATGGCAGCACTGTGGGAACTGCCACAAGCAATATCACGGATGCGTTTGGTTTTCAATGCTTCTATCAATCTGGGTTTATCACAGTTCCTAGAGAAAATGAGTAAAGAATTAACTGCGTTAATTATGAAAGAGTTGCACAATATACTCCAACCTTCATAATCAAAAAAAAAAATTGTGTAATAACAGTAACCTAAAGATAAAATAAGATGCAACATTATAATTCCAAGACATACTCTTTAGTAGCACCACAAATCTAGAAGTTTACACTATTTTAATGTACTTCAAAGTTTATTTGAAGAAGTGTTTTACATATACGCTGCAAAACTTAGGTGACAAAGCCAAAATAACAAAATGATGTCTCTGTTAAAAACTGTATAGTACAATGTGAAAACTGATACCCTGTCATTGCCCAAAGTTGAGCGATTTGTTAGAATGTCTTCTCCACCCTGTGCACACAGAGCCAGATAGTAAGATTAAGAGACGACACTCCTATCTCAACTTTGCTCTTATGAGAGAGAAATTAGAACTGGAATTTACTGTTAGGCTTCTGTGACAGAACTGGAAACTTCTACTATTCATAAGGTTACAATATTCTCTAAATTCAGGGAAGAGTTTCAACTCAAGGTTTTCTAATATTGACTGTGTATCACAGCCACTATTCAGGTTTACAAAATTACGCGTAGCCTCTGGAAAATTTGCTCCCATGAAACGCCCAAGAGTTCCAAGTCCCACATCTGATAAAATTACAGAAAACATGAGGCAGCTGAACAATAAACAACAATACTGCTCTAATCTGGACTTTCCTTTTCACTGATCTGACACACATACCCCAATGAAGATTTATTTGTTGTCATATATTAACCATATGAGTTGAACACTGTAACTTCTTATGTATTCTGAGCATGCATTCAAAATATATCAGAATGATAAAGATTTCCCCATGGGCTGTTTATTGTTCGGGGGTTTTTTTGTTCCTTTCAAAACATTGTTCTGTGGTGCCTACAAAGAAAAATCCCAAGACAATTAACATTTTCCTCAAAGCTGTCCTGTGGAGGATTAAACTATGTATTACTCAAAAGTGTATGAAATTTATTTCTGGCTAACAAGTTTGTGAACAGAAGTCTGAATAAAAGGGCTACAAAATACTCTGTCAGGCTTGCATTATGAACTGTTACAGCTCAGGAATGTAAAACTGCTATGGTTTTACTCCTCAAGGCACCTTAACTTATAAAAGTAACCAAAAACTCTATGTCCAAAAGTGTGCCATTTCATCAGTGACATTCAAAAATATTATTAAAGACTTTATCCACTAAGTATGTTTCCAATTATTATATTAATTGAATGCCTCCTTGTTACATGACTGAAGACTGATACGAATGCTGCACCATAAATTGACATACACTGCTGAAAAAGATCTTTTCACAACACAATTTTTTATTCCCATTGTATTAAAAATCCTGTCATTGTCAATAGCAGTGGTCAGCTGTTTCTAACATACAACACAAATGTTCTCTTACTGAAATATAGACAAATTTGGTATCCTTACATTCGACTGAAGTGACCAAGTTTTCCATCATCTCCTTCACCCCATGAAAATACCTTTCCATCAACAGTTAATGCCATAGCATGCCGGCCACCTAAAAGTGTAAACATAAATTTAAAGTTTCAAGCTTTCAAGCAGGCAGCAGGTCTAGCAAAAATCTCAGAAATCTGACAGACACTGCTGTACTTGTACAATGTAATTGTACGAGCCTTTCAACCCAATACACATTACTTATTTTCTTTGGAGTTTTTGTGTGATTTAATTTAAAATACAAAACTTTTGTTAAAAGTAGGTTTCCTGGCACATTAAAAAAAGAAAGAATCATTCAATTTGCTATTTTCAATGCTGCAAGAGAAAACAAAACCAAACCCACCACTTAGCAATAGTCAAAAATGAAAACACTTTCTTTGGATCAGACTGAAAAACTCTTCAGAAATTACCAAATTTAACTTCCAGCAAGTAAAAAGCTGTGTATGGTCTAAATTTGTGGATTTTAAACAACAGAACCATTAGATTTAATCTGGCATTTTATGCAAACAGACAGAATTTAATAACCTGTATTTATTTTTTAAAAAATCTAAAAATATCAGATATGCTGGGACACCACAGCAACCAAGAAAATTGCAAAGCAACTATTGTCAGGCTTCATGTGTTTGTTTATGTATATAAGAATAGCAATAGTCAGTACCTGAGTGAACAGCCACCTTCTTTACCACATAGTTACTAAGAGCTGTAATCTGGCGGGGAATAGGCACAGTTCCACTAGATATTCCTAAACCCAGCCTTCCATTTGTGGCTTCTCCGCAGGCATATACTTTACCCTCTACAGTCACTAAAATGGAGGGAAAAAAGTTTGAAACAACATTAATATTTCACAACTGGAAATCTGTTTCTGCCCTCAAATAATTACATTTATTTTAAATTTATATTACCTGCAAAAAGGCTTTTCGATCCTCCAGCTACTTGTACAACATTCAAGGCAGATAGGGTTTCAGAAAAGGAAGGGACCTTTATCTAGAGCAGACAGGAAATAAAGTTCATTACAATACACTTTAAAGGTTTATACTTTAAAAAGAAGAGCTATTCTGAAGTGATAAAACAGTTAATTTAACAGGTACTTTTTTTTAAAAATACATGAAACTCCCTGTATTATTCAGACACTTCACATATACCAGTTAATAGACACCAGACAAAAGACAAAAAGCAAGAAAAAGCATTTAATACTGAAACCATGATAAATACAAAATGTGAGAAAAAACAAAATGTGATATAAACAAGGATTTTCCTTTTAGTAAAGTTTTCTTGAGAACTCAGTGTTGAAGAAAGGCACAACAGCAAAATAAACCTAGTTAAAAGTGTTAACCAACACACTTCAAATCAGCACACGGGAACACAAAACCACAACTGAGTTTTTCAGTAGCAAAATGCTTTAGCAATCTGGATTAGAGATCAACTCGGGGTGGGGCGGCACACAAAACAGACCAGAAAACCTATTTTCTCCATTACTACAAAGAAGTCTTTGATCAAGCTGTATACATGTAAATAGACACCCACAATCTATTTCAAGTGTTTTAAATCAACACACTTAAACTTGGCATAACCCAGGTTTATTGTATTATTACATAATAATATATAATACATGTGATTGTTTATTTATTTTTATGCAGCTAAAGAGACAGAGTTTCTAGTTGGGAAAAAGAGTTTGAGGGACATTTGAAAAGCCTTAAAATAGTTTTTAAATTACTATCCTAATTAATCAATTTATGCATTTAATAATATTAATACCTGTCAAGACCTCAAAGATAAAGTGTGTAAGTTCATGTTAGCATGTTTTTTCTACTCAAAAAAGTTTAGTCTTTACAGAATTAGTTCATATTTATAGAGATATCTGATTTTATTTATTTATTTTTTATTAATCCCCTCATTTCTTCCATTCAAGTGTCCTATAGTTCTCCCCTTTTCTAGGTACGGCGGAAGCACTTCAGTCAAACAGAGCCATAATTCTGCCTTCAACATGTTTGGAGCAAGAATGAACTGAAATCTGCACTGAAGCCTTGATGGCTTTATGCCTCAATAAAATACAGGATGGAGAATACAGTATCAGTTAACTTTTTGTTTGTTGAAAGGCACTCTACAGATACAACAGTATACGTTTTATTTACAACATAAATTTAAAAACTGCTCTCTTACTTTTCAGATTAATGATACCTTAAATTGATTAAACATTCACCGTGTATCTCCCATCTTGTGCTGTATTAAAATTACGTATAAATGGCTGCCCACAGAGCTGAAATTCCTCTTGAATTACACTGAACTTACTGTAACCAAGTTACACCAATCAAAAGATTAGAATTCAACTTTTTTTTTTCTGATTACTGCACCAGCTCCAGGTACAAGTAATACATAGAAGAGTTCACCAGTATCTTCATTTCATGCACACAAACTCAAAAGGAGCAGTATATAGAGCGCTACACATTTTTAGAACAGTTAGTTCACTGTCATCTAAAACAAATGATTAAGTGGCTGCTAAAAATCAAACTGGTTTTCAGACTAACAACCAAAATGCAAATTTTCTCCAATTTTCCACCCAGCAGACATTACATGTCATAACAGTAAAAAGCCATTAAAACCTACTCTTTGTAGCTTTTGGTAATAAACTTTAAAATTCTGATTAAATTTGAAGTAATTTTGAGTTGCGTGAGACCTGCACATTTTATTTTCAGATGTGTCCATTTTGTACTAGAGTATGAAATCAAGAAACATACCTTGGAACCTTTCAGCCCTCCCAGCTGGTCTTTGTCATTCAGTCCCCAAACAAAAACTTTGGTTCTTATTGTAGCTGCTGATTCAAGCCCAGCTGCCTTCTTTCTAACAAGACTGAACATATTGAGGAAAAAAAAAAACAAACCCAACAAAGTCAGTTTACCAACCTGCATGCTATAGCATAGCCACCTTTTTACTGTATTTACCGATTTCACAGTTTGGAACAGTTTGAGTACTCAAACTACACCACCACAGTTAAGTGGTGGCTATAACAAATAAAAACCCAGAACACCTTGCTGAGCAGTGGTAAATATACACATGCCACATACCAAATATAAGCACATCCAGTTTTTAGCTAGGTTTTCAACTCAAGTATACTGCAGAAGCAGAAGAGTTGTACAAAATGCTACCACCTTACCAGAGCGATAATCTTAAAGAAGTTATTTATCAACAAGTGACCTACTCACAATTCTGACAAACTAAGATACTGATTTCTCTTCAACCACTCAACCTAATTAAGTTGCTCTTCTTACAATAATCTCCTGATTGGAATATATAGACACTAAGGTTCTTTATCATTTCCCCCTGACCCCTGCAGTTACCTACCTCCCAGTATTAGCTTTATCATCATCCTCTTCCTCATTATCAGAAGCAAGGAAAGGGACTGCAGCCAAATCTTCATCCTCTGCACGTATACGTCCCAGTATGCTGAGGCCATGGATTTTGCAATCAATCCCAGAGCTTCTGCACTGCTTGATTGCAATCTCAATATACCTGTGGTACTGAGAAGAAAAAACTGAATTGCCATCTTTTGGGTCCTGCATAACTTTATAAAACACAGGAAAGAATTAGAACTTTTGCTTGACTTCGTCACCTTAACAAAATGAATCTGTAACTTCAAATATTTGGTTTTCAGCCCTACATAACTCATACCTTAAGATAAACATATGGCCTCATTAATCTGAGAATGATTTCACTTCCAATCTTTTAAAAATTCATTATGCATTCCTCCTTGCTGTTACTGAAAAAGATCAGAACTACTATCCAAAATAAGCTTTATCACCCACCAAAATTATCCCCAAATTTAAGTTTACTGGGATGTCTTCTTGGTTCATAGGTGTATTAATTTACATAAGAAAACCTAAAATATCTTTACTACTAAGGCTATAAAAGAGTTGCACTGTGATTACGGTAAAACTTATCAGGATAATTAACTTTACTAAACTGCCAGAAATAGTGCCAATTTAGAGGAAAAATAAAATATCATGCTTTAATAATCACAACAGTGCTTTTCATCCCTGTCTTGCAGCAAAATATTTTTCTGGTGCATACAAGAGTAATCCTCACACAAACTTCACTTACTTCTGTACAATCACTGAGAAGAGGCACTGTGGTGTCTGTAGGATTTATATTGATTGTCTTTAGCTCTATAAGGTTATTTAAGGAATTCCCCCCTAGAAAACAAAACATGGAAAGAAAAACGTTTTAAGATACAGTGTTTGTTTCATAAACAGGCACCATGCATGTTAAACGGATGACTAGGTTAACTGAAACCAGATAAATACCTGTTGTTGAATGTACAAAAAAAAAAATATTTTTCAGACTTCTCAGAGAACATACACATACCTGAAACTACAACTAAAGAGGGCATGTAACTGCTGTCTGCAGGGTCCACTATCATCTTTAGTCTGTGAACAAGAACATCTGGAAAAATCTCCAAGCGAATCCAGTGCTAGGGGAAACACAAAGAATTTCATTTTCAGATATTATTGTTAGGCTCACCGTATGGTTAACAAGAATAAACGTGTGCTGTTTTTGAAGAAAGCGTGAAAAACATTTGTGAGCGGTACACAACAGCTGCAATGCACGGGAACTGGCCAAAGGAAAATGACCTTGTGAACTTCTCGCCTGTCCAACCTCCAAATACAAGAGAAACAGATGCAGCAAATTATTTATTTCACCCAAGAGCAACACCATTGTGAGGACTGAGAAAGCACAATACCATTGGAGATCAAGAAATGGGACATAATATAAATCTTTGACTGGTTACAGTCTGTAGAGAACCCGAAGGAAGGGTACTAGGCAATATTCTCAGCATGGCCATCAACCGAGCATCAAAACGCACTGGACAGAAGCCCAGCCACAAATCCCAGTGCCTAGGCTGGCCACACAGCAGTGCTGCAGGCCAATAAAACTGGTAAACCATAACCTAAGGAACAACGCTTATATGTTTTTATAAATGATCTGGACACAGGAGTCGAATGTACATTAAGCAAGTTTGCCAGTAACACTGAATTAGAAGGAGTTGTGGACTCCCTCAAGGGTAGAGAGGCCTTACAGAGAGATCTGGATAGACTAGAGAGCTGGGCAATCACCAACAATATGAAATTTAAGAGCAAGTGCCAGATTCTCCACCTGGGACAGGGTAATCCTGCTTATACACACAAACTGGGGGATGACAGGCTGGAGAGCAGCCCCACGGAAAGAGATCTGTGTGTGTGAGTTGACAGCAAATTGAATATGAGCCAACAGTGTGCCCTGGCAGTCAAAAGGGCCAACCATGTCCTGGGGTACATCAAGCACAGCATAGCTAGCCGGTCAAGGGACGTGACTGTCCCACCCTACACCGCACTGGTGCGGCCCCACCTCGAGTACTGTGTGCAGTTTTGGGTGCCTCGATATAAGGACATCAAACTATGAGAGTGTGTCCAGAGGAGAGCGACCAAGATGGTGAGAGGCCTCAAGGGCAAGACTTAAGAGGAGCAGCTGAGGTCACTTGGTGTGTTCAGCCTGGAGAAGAGAAGGCTGAGGGGTGACCTCATCACAGCCTACAGCTTCCTCAAGGGGGGCAGCAGAGGAGGAGGTGCTGATCTGGTCCTCTCTCTGGTGACCAGCGATGGGACACGAGGAAATGGAGTGAAGCTGCATTAGGGGAAGTTCAGCTGGACATTAGGAAAAGGTTCTTCACTGAGAGAGTGGTCAGTCACTGGAACAGGCTCCCAGGGAAGCGGTCACAGCACCAAGCCTGTCAGAGTTCAAGGAGCGTCTGGACGGACAAGTCACATGGTTTAGTTTTAGGTAGTCCTGCAAGGAGCAGGGAGCTGGACTCGAGGATCCTTATGGGTCCCTTCCAACTTGAGATATTCTATGATTCTATGCAAATGAGGGAGTGTTTGGAGACAGTTTTAGCCAGTGAGAGCATAGGTGCTTTTCACATTGCAAACTTAAGTAAAATATAATCAATGTGATTGTTAAGAACAATTGTCATCAGTTATTATACTGAAAAGGCAATTGTAACCATATAACCAACTACAGAACCATTACTCCGCATTTCAAAAAAAATCACAAACGTTCCTTATAACTCATGTGAAATAATTAGAAAGAGGAAGCACACCTTTAAAAAAAATAGGCACATTTACTATGAAGAAACATAGTTTTGTTCTTCAGATGGCTGTTTTTATTAGTCTTCTACCTTACACGAAGGTAACAAACAAATATATTTCACTAAGGTAAATACTTACCCTCTTAAGAAGAAAGTATGCCAGAATAAACCAGTTATGGCTTAAAGTTACCTTTCCTTGTGAGCCAGAAGACTGCCAGCACTGCTCACTACCATCAATAAGACGTGAAGCCTGATTCACAGAGGATGAGACATTCAAATTCTTAACTATTCTTGACCAATCATCCAGCAACATTCCCCGCTGGCTACTATGCCGTCTCTTCAACTGCTTTCCAGAACGCCCACAAAACACCGGAGACTGACCTGCACGGTTAAGTGAAACATTAAGCACATACCTCTCAAAGAAAATTGCTTTTATTAAGCCCATAAGCAATGCGAGAGGAAAGATAACAATTCAAAGATTTCATGTACATGGTTTAGAAGTAGAATACAGAAGAATGTCACATAGGTATGGCAATACTACTCACACTTAAAGGGCATAGCTCAAGGTTTGTTTGGGTTTTTTTTTTTTTAAAAGGAGTTTCAAGCACTTCACCTGACTACAAGTTTTCATGCCTGTCATTTGGGATAGTCACACTTTCTGTTCTTAGACTTATGATTGATTTGTACCAAGAAACCAAGCATAATTTAGTAAAAATAATCATTAAAAAAATTAAGGAAAATTACTCTCTTCAGGAATGTAAGACACTGAGAGTAATTCCTAAAAATTGAATGATACAACATGACAGGGACGTGCAATCTTTAAACTGACAGAATCCTTAAAAGACTAACATTCTTGACTAAATAGCCACTAGAAAGGGTCCTTCCTTTTGAAATACAAATCAAAATTTATGATGATACATACTTCAAAATACAGGCCCACAGCACATGAATTTTGTACACCATAGCATATGAAAAATATGCAACCAACCTTCAACAGAAATCCCTTACAGGAAAATAGACATAGCTAAGTTACAACACTCAAAAACTCCAAATCTTGTTCAAGAATGAGGTAGTTTACTGAGTTGTTGATTTCCTCCCTGCAAACACCCACTTGTACTTTCCTTCACTGATCTTTGTAGCTTCTAGAAAGCCTGACTAAAAGAATATTCTAACTCCTCTACCCTATCCAGGCCAAGGGGAAGAACTACAGATTCACACTATACTAGCTGTACAACCGTATTAACTAATTTCTTAATGGAAATTCTTCCTTGCCCTTCAGACATTTGCATCATACACATGCAACGCATGTTCATGATTTCTAGCAGGGAATCAGTTTTATTCATTTTCCAAACCAATTAGACTGGCTACCTGTAAATATGAAGAGGTTTAGTCCAGAAGCCAGCATCACCTTGCAAATGCTAGGGATCAGACTGATTTTTAAACAGGTGGAGAGAAAAGAAATAAAAGCTAGCGTCAGGTAAGTTTTGCATAATAATGCAAAACCCAGAAGTTTTGGAGTTAAAATGGCTGCAACTGTTCTTGCCCTAGAAACAAAAAATTCTGACTATAAGTCTTTCAAAAGGCTTCCCTTTCCTACCACACCTCTCTGGAGTCTCCACATCATGGAGGAAAAATGAGGCAACAGCCATCACACACTGACAGGCAAAAGTGTTGAAGAGAAACTCAGGTGTAAGAAAGTATCAGGTATTTCAAGCTGCACCCAGGTCATGAGGATTCCATCCACCTACATTTAGGCTGATAGCAAAAGGCAGGAGGATTAAAGAATTATATGTTTTACTCTTGGTGTAGCTGAAAATTCAGTTCTGACATGAAGAGTTACTGTCAAGTAGCTGTATCTTTTTAAACTTAAAATTTTAACACTACAAAGAAAGCTTAAGGGTTGATGTTTTGGTGTAGTCCACTACATGCAACTGTAGCAGCGCTATGATCTGCTAAAAATGTTTTGCTGTCTAGAGGGTCAGTATGAACACTAATTTTTCATTATGTTGAGAAGCCAAAATTTAAAACTGTTTTTTTTAAAAACAAATTCAGTGCATTTAAATTAATCTAAGAAACACTTAAGATTCTGAAACTTACCTGGTTCATTTATTCTGCCAAAAGTATGTCGGGTGTTATGCTTCCTGGTTTTAAAACAGGTTTCACAAAAGTCAAAATCATCACAGTTTCTGCATTTGAATCTAGGCCCATTGATAGGAAACATCTGACAGCCATCACACCTGATTTCACAAAAGAACAATGAGTAAGCATATTTCTAGCAGTTTTCACGCTACAAGTTAATTCTAACACCAGTCAAAATAATGGAATCAAGACAATAAGGCTAAAGGATAATCCATATACGTTAAGAAAAATGTAAATCATCACTTACGTGACTCCAGGATGAATGCTGGGGACCAGTTCCATTTCTGACAATAAGCCAGTCCAATGAGACTGCTGAGGAAAGTCTACAATGACATCTTTTCCATTGGCACTAAAAGCTGTTACAAAAGCATGCAGAAAATACAAGGCATTACAAATCTCTATAAAATGAAGCAGAAAGCATCCAGTGCAACATCAGAGCAGAAACACATAATAAAAGTAGCTTTCAAAAGTAATCTTTTATTTTAATGGAACCATGTATTAACCTAATCAGATCCCCTGGAAAGGGGCAGAGGGAAACAGAGTTCTAAAGATTTTTTAAAGATATATATTATTCTATTTAAATTCCTTGACTCCAAATTTTTCTTTTTTTTTTTTTTAAAAAACAGTTCCCAAAGGGAGAGATTACTTCTAAGCACAAATACAGTATGACCAAAATCTGTACCTCTTCAAAGAATCTATGCCCCACACATTATCTCTATAACATCCCTTACAGCTTGACACTAGTGCACCCCACTTCCTCCTCACTTTCATATGAAGTCTTCAAGTTAGATTTACTTCTTAAAGGAAAACCATTTGTGGGTCATCCAAAGTATAAATCAGAACTACAACAGGAAGATGCACAGATTCTTAAAGACCTCTACTGTATGTGAACGGATTGGCTCAAAAAGCAGATGAACACACTAACAAAATGGGCTGCCACAGAGTATGTGTCTATAAATTGGTCACAGACACCAAATGCATTCTATACTGTCTTATCGTCATGCAGTATTCCACAAAACATAAGCATATCTGGAAGATTCTCTCCCTAAACACTTGCAGAAAGTCTGTGTGGTTTCCAGTTTTATTACCTCCCCATGCCCCATTTTGAATATACGTTACCTTTGACAACTCCCACACTTCGGTGAGTAACTGATCCCCATTTGTATTTGGGTGTGGTAACAGAGCTTTTCACACGCACTTTGTCACCTATCTTGATATGAGAGGCAGAACTCTGTGGTGGGAATCCTAGCAGTTGCAAGAATAAATGCATGGTGAATGGGTTTTTCCACAAAAAAAATAAATCTCCCTTAGTGCATCATTCAGTTTTCTAGTGAAAAGCAGTTAGCAGTGAACTTACCTAAAAGCTCAACATGGATATATCTGACCCAGTAAGTACCACCCTTTTGTTGCCAATCACACTGTACGTTCAGGTCATGCAATCCATCTCGATCCAATTTAATAACTTTGCCTACGTCTCCTTCACAAACCTCCTCATAGGTTCTGCAGCACCTAACCATCATCCCAACCTAGGGAAAAAGGACAACAGAATGCCATAGCTATGTAAAGACTTTTTTGTACCAGAAGGAATGTAGTTTCAACATAGCTTTTCATCACCATGCTTACCTGAATATTCTCCCTCACATACACAGCATAGTCATCATTACTTAAGAAATCAGCTCGTTTCTTATAGGTCTGGCTCTCTGTTACAACAGCACCACTTGACTGGAAAAAAATCCAAAATAAACATATAACGGTTACAAAATTTGGTTTCCATTCAGATAAATAAAATTGTTAGCAAAGACTGCAGAAAACCCAACAAAACCACACAAATATAATATGCAAGTTGCATGCCAAAATGGGAAAATCTTCAACAGATCAACTCACTATAGGGCTAACATTTTATCATCTACTTTAAACTAAAGTTTAGTTTTCAAAATGATTTGCCAAGGACTGTAGCTGCAAATTTTCAAAATGTATGAAACAAGCTGCAAGTTGCTATTATGAAATCTGCTTGCCAAAGGAAATGATAATAGAGGATTTGTGAGTAATCTACTCAGCCTTGCAAATACACATTCACATTCCACTTCTTAGGCTATTTGTTTGAAAGTAAAAAGCCAGTGGTGAATAGTAATCTCCTACCTGAAGTACACTACTGATTTTTTTTGTTGTATAATACAATGGGATTTAAAGTATTCCCTTAGAAAAACAAACTGACAAAAAAGATAAGATTGTAGTTATCAGAAATCATTCCTTTCAAGATTTGATTAACTTAAAAATTTTAAGAGAACTATTGCATTCCAGCAGTAATGAGAATTTTCAGAAAACTTTGTTCCATTTTGAGCATCAAGTGTTTTTTCATTTGAGGCAATATATAGCACAGCTTCTCACTGCAATATTGATAAAGATATCAGAACTCAATGTCAAGTTAATTTCCTTCAAAATATAATATTTATTTCAATTACAAAATCCTACATGTGCCAGAAAACTCAACGTAACTCTTTAAAAAATAAATAGAAATAGGGAACTCATTTAATTTTATTGACAAATCCTTACTGAAACAGTTCCTGAAAGTCAACAGAAGACTAACATAAATTCACATTAAAGCCATCACACTCAATAGATACTGTAAAGGTCATTTTATCACCATCAAGTGAAAATAGTTTTTATAAGGAAAAAGCTAAATTATTTCACTGACATCTTTTGCCATTTATTCACTAATTCCTCAGTCATTCCTTGTAGCT